CTGGTGGCCGCCGTGCGTCCACGAGCCGAACGTCAGGCCGCAGCTCTGCGCGTCGAACGGGAAGGCGGACACGTCCACGCGACACGAGCTGCGCGTGATGGCCGGGGAGTCCCAGCGCACCGCGCCGTCGTGACGCACCACCACATTCGTGTTGACCGACGCTGGCGCCTGCGTGTCTGCCCTGCAGACGAGTAGGAGGGGGACGGGGGGGGGGGGGGGGGTCATTGGGGGCAGATGTCAGAAACCCGGGCAGGGCGGGGGGGGGGTGGAGCTCTTTGAGGAGAGGTGCCCTGGAGGCCGGGATAGTGCCCAGGGGTGGGGCGGAGGGGGGGGCTTAGAAGGCACACAGGCCTAGCCCTGGGCAGAGTGGAAAAGCCTCTGGAAAGACCTGTAATCCGAGGCTGAGATCTGAGGATTACAGTTTGAAGCCGGCTCAAGCAGAAAAATCTATGAGACTCTTATTTCTAATTAGCCCCCAGAAGAGCTGTAGCTCAAATAATGGAGCATCAGCCTTACCCAAAAAGGCTCAGGGACAGCTCCCAGGCCTTGAGTTCAAGCCCCAGTGCACACACATGCGCACGTGCGCATGCACACACACACACCTGGTGATAGTAATGGGCAGGTCAGTGCGACCTTGGGAATCATCTACAAACCTCATTAGAGGGACCCAGGAAGCTTTGCAGCACTACACATTAAATGGGAGGCACTGAACTGGTTAATGTGGCAGAAAGGAATGCCCTTGAGGGTTAGGCCCGGAGGGAGCCAGCCCTGAACCTCAGAGCTAGTCTGGAAACAGGTAAGGTACCATAGAGAGGTACTCACATCCCAGACTTGTCATTCATTCACTCATTTATTGGTGGTACTGAGGATTGAACTCAGGGCCTCATGCATGCAAGTGTGAGGTAAGCAGGCACTCTTATCCCTTGAATCCTATCACCACATCCCCTTACTAGGAGAGAGAGTAGGGCTCTCAGTAGACATTGAGCCTGATTTGGCCTTCTGTACCTAAAGTGGGGTTGCTGTGAGCTCTTGGCAGCCTTCCTTTTGGTACCAGGGGAAAGTTTCCAGAGCAGCAGGGTAACCAGACTGAGGTGGGGTTGGGGTGGGGAGGGGTCTCAGTGCATGTTCAGAGCTAAGGGCAACTCTAGAGAGAGGCAAGAGAGGGAGGGACCCAGGCGGGCAGTACTTGTTGTAGAGTACGATGTCTGGTCGCCACACAAGACTGCTGGGGATGCGGATGGCATCCAGGCCACCGTAGGCATCTGGGTCCCATCGTAGGTAGGCATCAGACCACTCCTGCCGGATCCACAGGTACAGGGTCAGCACCTGATTCCGTTCATCCTGGTGGGGGGAGGGGACAAGGAGGGGACGTCAGTATATGTGCACACTTTCCTCAGTGCACACATCTACAAACCCAACTTGTCTGTACAGTGATTCCCTCCCAGGCCTGACCTTGCTGGATTCTTCCCTTCTCTGGGCCTCAGTTTCCCAGGTGCATGAGGTGGTAACACACTTAGCAGGGAGTCAACAAGGTCAAGTGTGTAAAGTACAGGGCACCCAGTGGGTACCCAACAGTTAGTAGCTGTTACTGTTAATCTTAACACAGGAAAGGAACAGTCCCACACTCTCTTACCTCTTCCTGGAACACTGTTACAGAAACATTCCATAGCAGAACCATTACCACAACATACCATGTCGATGATCTGGGACAGTGTCACCTCCAGGGTCACATTCAGAGTCTGGTCTGTGTCTGCCACAGGTCTCAGGGCACTTTTGTAGTTGGTGAATAGGTCACGGAACAGCTTGTGAGCCAGCTTGCCCTCAGCTCCCAGGCACTCTGTATCAGTCAAAAGGGCTTCTGTGCATACCCTTCAGCCATATCTGCTTCCACTGTCTCAGCCTTTTGATGGTCTCCTTATGCTTGTCCTCTGTCCTGGCTGTGGCTCTGGTTTGTTTTTTCTCTGTCTCTGTCTATTTCTCTGTCTCTCTCTCTCTCTTTTTGGTTGTGGGGCCTGAACTCTGGGCCTGGACACTGTCCCTCAGCTCTTCAGCTCAGGGCGAGTGCTCTACCACTTGAGCCACAGCACCACTTCTGGTTTTCTGGTGGTTTATTGGAGATAAGTGTTTCACTTTCTTGCCTGGGCTGGCTTTGAACTGCAATCCTCAGATCTCCTGAGTAGCTAGGATTACAGGCATGAGCCACCAGTGCCTGGCAGCTCTGGTTTCTTCTTGGTCACCTGTAAGGGGTGAATGAGCTAAAGGCCTTGTACTGTCTTCCAGAACAATGCTGGCCTCTTACACTCTTTTCAAGGACCTGGATTCTGTCTGTCATGCCTTAAAACTAGAGGGACCCAAATAGCCCACAAGAGTCCAGACTTTCACCTAAGTATTTTAAACTCCATTTACCCTGTCCTCATTTTTCAAGCCTGTTTTTACTTCTCCTTGGGTTCCTCAAAGCTTCTATATATGGAGCATTCCATGTTCCGCAACTAGCCACTAGGATTTTATTTTATTGAGACAAGTTTTGGTTGTGTTACTCAGGCTGGTATCAAATTCCTGGGCTCAAGGCATCCTGCTTCAGCCTTTCAAGTAGCTGGGATTATGGGTACTGCCATTTTCTAAAAACACACTCTTCCTAGGCTTTTTTTTTTTGGGTCCGGTTGTGGGGCCTGAACTCTGGGCCTGGGCACTGTCCCTCAGCTCTTCAGCTCAAGGCTAGTGCTCTACCACTTGAGCCATAGTGCCACTTCCGGCTTTTTTCTTATGTGGTGCTGGGGAATCGAACCTAGGGCCTCAGGCATGCAAGGCAAGGGCTCTACCACTGAGCCACCTTCCCAGCCCCTTCCTAGGCTTTTATGACATACATTTTCTCAGTCCCTGATGCAAATAATGTGTGCCAAAACCCTGTCCTCTTCATTTAGTCCCTCCCTCCTCCCTTCTCCATCTCCTGTCCCATCTTCCTTCCCTCCTTCCCTCTCTCCCTCCCTCCCTCCTCCTTCTCTCCCTTCTTCCCTTCCTCCCTTCCTTCCTTCCCTCCTTCCTTTTTCTCCTCCCCTCTCCTTTCCTCCCTCTCCTCTATTACCTCTCTAGTCCAAACCCTTCCTCCTTCATTCAGACTACACAATAGCAGTTTGTCATTGCTCCCCCGGCCTGGAGCTTATCCTCACTTCCTGTCTATTCTCAATTTTTTGTTTTATTTTGCTCTGCTTTTTTCATTTGCTTGAGATATAGTCCAGGTTGGCCTCAAACTCATGATTCTCCTGTCTTCCCCTCTCCAGTGCTGGGATTATGAGTGTGCACCACCATGTTTGGCACACACACCCACACACCCACGTGCACAGGTCCTGGGGCTTGAACTCAGAGCATGGGTGCTGTCCCTGAGCTTTGTACTCAAGGCCAGCACTCTATCACTTGAGCCACAGCTCTACTTCTGGCTCTTTAGTAGTTTGTTGGAGATAAGAATCTCAGTCTTTCCTGCCTGGGCTGGCTTTGAACTGCAGTCCTCAGATCTTCAGCCTCCTGAGCAGCTAGGATTACAGGGTATGAGTCCTAGCACCTAGAGGCTCCCAGTCTTTTTTATTTCCCAGTCCTGAGACTTGAACTCAAGGCCTGGAACTGTCTTTGAGCTTCTTGTGTTCAAGGCTAGCACTCTACCACTTGAGCCACAGCACCACTTCCGGCTTTTTTGTTTATGTGTTACTGAGGAATTGAACCCCGGGATTCATGCATGCTAGCAAGCACTCTACCACTAAGCCACATTCCCAGCCCATCCCACAGTCTTTTAAACTGACTAACTCTGACTAGGGCAGGGTCTGCTTAAAACTTTCCAGGGCCCCAGTGAGTGCAGGTAAAAGCACGCCTAGCATTCAGGGCCCTTTATGATTTGCTTCTCTGACTTTTCAGCCATAATTCTGAAAGTTTCCTTGTCCTTGCTCCCACTTCAGCCATGCAAGTAACCCCTCTCCTCCACATTCCCCAGATGGAAAGCTTATTCTTAGCACAGCTACTGAAAAGAAAGTTAACAAAGACTGTGGAGAGAGATTAGGAATAACAGCAATGCCAGGGGAGGCCAGGGCTGGCTCATACCTGCAGGGAGTAGCAACAGGAACAGAAAGGCCAGATGGAGACGGTGGCTCCCAGTCCTCATGGTCCTGCCACAGCCAAAGGTGAGGTGGATCTCCTAGTCAGACCTAGGGCAGCATCAGGCCCTGATGGCAAGGATAATGTAGACAGTACCTGGAAATCAGAAAGACAGATCTTTGGTGGGCCCGGATACTCTCTAAGGAGTCCCTAAACTCTTCTAGTTATCTGACCCTACTGTTTGTACCTGCCCTGCAAATATTAGTACTTGGTTCTTACCATCTGCCATTTCTCCTTTTCTAGTCCTTGCCTTTCTGGCCTCGACATCTGCCCTTTCCCTATGCCATGCACCTCTGTTTACCTCTTGCTTTCTCAATTTTCTTTGTCTTTTCCTCTACAACCATCTTGGTCTCTATCTATGGCTCTTCTCCTCTCTCCTACTTCTTTCTATTTCAGACCCCTGGCTTTGATCTTCCGTGCCTCATACCCGGGCCTTGGATGAGCCAATGAGCCTGCTGCTCTCAGCACAACAAGACCAAGAACTCTTCTCTGTCCCAACGAGTGTGAGGCACAAGACAGTGGCCCCTCCCTCTTGGCACTTCCAGTTAGCTTAATTACATGATTGGGACACCTGTACCCATGGAAACAGCAACTGAAACTGACACTTCAGGCTGTTGGGACCTAAATTATTTATATTTTGTAAAGCAATACTCAGACTCAACTCAACCTTTTGGAGATAATGAGATAATTTTACGTTACATATCCTTATGTGCCGCATTTTCTTTATCCATTCACCAGTTGTTGATTCCACCTCTTAGCTATCGTGAACAAAACTGCAATAAATAGAGTCCAAAGCATGATTGAGTAGGGATATGTAGAAGACTAGGACTTCAGGGAGTACAAGGGCAGGACCTGTAGATGGGAAATGTCCCCTCAAGCACTCCCATCATTGCTGGAATCCGTTAAGAGTCCTGTAGCTCTTCCCAGTGAAGAGTGAACACATCATGCTGGCTGGCCATGCAGGCTCTGCCCTCCTGATGGCAGTGGTGCTGACACCTCGGCCACTCCAAATGGTCCACAGAGCAGGTCTCTGCAGTCATTCCCATTGGAGACTGAAGTTTTTTCACAGTGTCGTCACTGGAGAGTGTGAGGTAATAGACAAAACATAAGCTTTAGAATCACTTTCAGCTCTGCTTTTTTAACATGTGCATTATACACACACACATATGTATAAATACACACATATATATCTATATATTCTACCACATTGAGCAACAGCTCCACTTCCTGGTTTTCTGGAGGTCTAGAGCTTAATTGGAGATAACAGTCTCATAGAGTGTCCTGAGCTGGTTGGCTTCAACCCGTGATTCTCAGATCTCAGATTACAAGCATGAGCCACCAGTGTCTGATACATATATTTTAATCAGTAATATCCTCTATTACTTTTCCTGCATGACTGATATTCTATTAACAGCTTTCAGTGCAATTTCCTGTGCCATCTTCAAACATAGTTGGAATTCTTTTTTTTTTTTTTTAGGTCGTGGGGCTTGAACTTGGGGCCTGTGAGCTGTCCTTGAGCTCTTTGCTTAAGGCTAGCACTTCTACCACTTTGTGCCACCAACACCACTTCCAGTTTTCTGGTGCATAATTTGAGATGAGAGTCTCTCAGACTTGCCTGCCCAGGCTGGCTTTGAACTGTGATCCTCAGATCTCAGCCTCCTGAGGAGTTAGGATTGCAGGCATGAGCCATCAGCGACTAGCAGTTGAAGTAATTTTGATATTATTCACCCTCCATCATTTTCTTTTTCCCTTTCCCCTCTTTCTTGTTATCTCAGAAAATCCCATTGTTAGTTTTTTGTTGTTGTTGTTTGTTTTTGAGTCCAGTCATGGGCCTGGGTGCTGTCCCTCAGTTCTTCAGCTCAAGGCTAGCTCTCTACCACTTGAGCCACAGCGCCACTTCCGGCTTTTTGCTTTTTGCTTATGTGGTGCTGAGGAATTGAACCCAGGGCCTCGAGCGTGCAAGGCAAGCGCTCTACCACTGAACCACCTTCCCAGCCCCATAGTTAACAGTTTTATACTAATTATATAAGTATGTAAGTATTCATAATCATGTATACATACAAATATATGTATATATGTGTCTTTAAAGTCAAATTCTGCAAACATGGAATATTTGCTCTTTGGGCTTGGCTTATCTGGCTCAACATGATGGTCTCAATTTTACTTTTCTTTATGACTGAGTAATATCCATGGTAATATCCAACTTCTTTATCCATTCATCAGTTGTTGGGTAACTTGGCTGATTCTACCTTTTGGCTGTTGTGAACAAAACTGTAATAAGCATAGGTGTGCAGGCATCTTTCTTATATATTGATTTAGACTCCTTTGGGTGTATACCCAGGAGAGGTATGGTGGGGTCATAAGGTAGATCTAATTTTAACTTTTGGAGGAGCCTTCATATTGACTTCCATAGTGGTTGTGCTAGTTTACATTCCCTCTAGCAGTATAGGATTCCTTTTTCACCACATCCTTTCCAGCATTTGTAGTTTGTTTCATTATTACCATTCTGATTAGGGTGAGATGAAATTTTAGTGTGCTTTTGACTTGTACTTCCTTTATGGATAAGGGGGTTGAACATTTCTTCTTGGTTTTTATTTTTAGCCATTTGTATTTCATATGTGAACTGTCCATTCAATTTGTTTGTCCGTTTATTAATTGGAATATTCTTTAACTGTTTGATTTTGAGATTGGAAGGATCTAAGTTCAAGGCCAGTTTAGTTAAAAAAAAAAAAGTTGCCAGGCACCGGTGGCTCACGCCTGTAATCCTAGCTACTCAGGAGGCTGAGATCTGAGGATTGCAGTTCAAAGCCAGCCTGGGCAGGAAAGTCCATGAAACTCTTATCTCCAATAAACCACTAGAAAACCGGAAGTGGCACTGTGGCTCAAGTGGTAGAGTGCTCGCCTTGAGCTGAAGAGCTGAGGGACAGTGCTCAG